GCGCTTATGAAACTACGGTCATTATACATGCGCAGTCGGTTGGTTTAGGTGTGAAAGGTCAAAATACGTATTTCACAACAGGGAATTCAACAGATTAACGTTTGACTTCACAGATTTCACATGTTTTAGTTATTAGCAACTGTAACAAGAACAAGATTTCGAGTTTCTACAACAAAAATTCCTAAGGACTCCTAAAAAATATTATCACAGAGAAAGTGTCTAGGCATGTCCTTCTTTTGATACTATCTTTTCTGGCGGTGTTCGCTGATGCCCAGTGGTCGAAAATTTCAATAGTTTCGGGCGTCAAACCCACGCAATGACAATGGTTCCATTGAATAATGCAGTCGTTATTATCACAGGCAATCATTGATTAAGTCTCATCACCGTTACAAATACAAACAGATTCACGATAGTTCATCAGTTCTTCTCCAATCGATGTTATGTCTGCTAATTTTTCATTAAAGTTCGCCAAGATCTCCGGAAACAACAGCATTCTAACTAGACGCCATTTTCAGAATTTTACATGCGAGGTTAGTCTATCGCTTCCGAACATGCTCCGAATATCACCGAATGCTCGAGACTAGCGTAACCCATTGTACGAAGGTGTTAAGAGCTAACAGAACCAATGTTTGTGAATAAACATTGACAAACGATCATGGGGCAAAGCTAAAACAATAGCGTCGTGGCTCCTTCCGTTAGTACCTTCCATGATTCACCCAAAGAGTTCATGATATGTATAAACAAACTTGGTTTACAGATCTCAACAATTATCCTAAACTCGATAAATACAGAAATTTTAAGATCGATTTTTGATGTGAAAAATATTTGCATTTAATAAAAGACAACATATTACGTTCTACGCTATGTCAGCTTAGAACATCATCCCACAACCTTCGGGTTGAATCTGATCTAACTAAACATACCGAGGAATATGAGAATCTGTAAATTATGTAATTTAGGGTTGGTTGAGGATGAATACCATTTTTGCCTTGTATGTCCACGTTATGTAAATCTTAGAAAAAAAATATTTACTTATATTTTATCTGTCAAATCAGACTTACGAAAAATTTCTTCGTTTAATGCAGTTTGACAACCTTTCTGTACTTAAAATTGCTAAATTTGTATTCTACGCTTCTAAACAAAGAGACAATCTACTTAACCAGTTGTGACTATTTGATTCAACAATTATTTAAAGGAATCCCTCTGTATGTATTTTTCTATTTTTTGATTTATTGTACCATAGGCCATAGGCCATTGTACTGAATAAAATTCATATCGTATTATAATTTCAATTAACTTTATATAATTTCAAATAACTTTATATAATTTCAGTTAACTTTATATAATTTCAATTAACTTTATATAATTTCAATTAACGTTATATAATTTTAGTTAACTTTATATAATCTCAGTTAACTTTATATAATTTCAGTTAACTTTATATAATTTTAATTAACTTTATATAATTTCAATTAACTTTATATAATTCAATTTCAGTTAACTTTATACAATTTCAGTTAACTTTATATAATTTCAGTTAACTTATATAATTTCAGTTAACTTTATATAATTTCAGTTATTTTTATATAATTTCAATTAACTTTATATAATTTCAGTTATTTTTATATAATTTCAATTAACTTTATATAATCTCAATTAACTTTATATAATTTCAGTTAACTTTATATAATTTCAGTTAACTTTATATAATCTCAGTTAACTTTATATAATCTCAATTAACTTTATATAATTTCAATTAACTTTATATAATTTCAATTAACTTTATATAATTTCAGTTTACTTTATATAATTTCAATTAACTT